GAAGTCATGAACCCATCAAAGTTGGAAAACCATTGAAAATCTGCAGGCAGTGGACACCCGTTTCACCCAGGTATAAGGCTCTTCAGTAGTGCACATCCACCACCTGGACGTGGTAGTCGAAACGGGTAACTTTGGTTTCCCATTTAAACTCTGACCTTTAAACCATTGCCCCAGGATCGAACGGTGTTCATGTTTAAATTCAATCGTTCCACAACATTGCATGAGCATCTTCTATTTTCTTCATATGATAACCGCCTCATACTCGATAATGTTTAGCTCTACCATTCACAGCTTCTTGGTAGAACTCCTGAAATTTCCTCAAGAAGCTAGTCACTAATGCATACATAACAATCGACCAATAGAAAAATGTTCAAGTAGAGTTTAAGTAGTGTAATATTCCATTTTAACAATATGTCAGCCATTGCTACCCGTGAACCAAAAAGCACTGGAAAGCCGTTTCATCTTGATGAGATGTTAAGTTTTCAGTTGAATGATTTGACGTTTAGTCACTTGACATGGTAACCAAGGTTCTTAAATTTAACCATTTGGGGATTCATAGACGCATAATTCTAAGTTCCACCATGTGAAGAGGGGAAAGTTGTTAAGTTATACAGTTGTCTTACCAAATACAGCTCATGATGTAATGACACAAAACTCAATAATCTCCACCAATCCTTCTAGAAAATAAGATATTTGAAGTACCAGGGTAGTCGATCAAGAAAAACAAAATTAATTAATTGAACTACAGGAAGATGTTGAACGAGAAGGAATGATGATAAAGGTACAAACATTAGTAGACTGAACAAATCGATTGAAATGTAAAGAATAACAAGTCTAACTACCGTCCTAACAATTCATAAATCTAAATAAAGATAGAACAAATATTGATGCAGTATAATATGAATTCATTATATTTCGTGGTTTCTCATCAGCTGCTTACAACCAAATATGCATTAGAGTTTTAGCATTAGGGTAATAAATAGAATGGAACGACTGACATAAGGGAATGTAAAGGATTGGAATAACAAAAGTCATCGATGATAAATGTATATATATATATATATATATATCTATGGGCAAGGAAAGGTCAGAGGTTATTAGGTATTAGGATAAAGGATGGCGTAATAGTTGAGTGGAGTTCAGAGACAGATTACGTAACCCACCCTAATTGTTTTCAACTACCTCTAACATAATCACATTTTTGATTTTATCTGTCTCTGAACTCCACTCAACTATTACGCCATCCTTTATCCTAATACCTAATAACCTCTGACCTTTCCTTGCCCATAGATATATATATATATATATACATTTATCATCGATGACTTTTGTTATTCCAATCCTTTACATTCCCTTATGTCAGTCGTTCCATTCTATTTATTACCCTAATGCTAAAACTCTAATGCATATTTGGTTGTAAGCAGCTGATGAGAAACCACGAAATATAATGAATTCATATTATTCTGCATCAATATTTGTTCTATCTTTATTTAAATTCATAAAGGGAACTAACTGCATGAAATTCATAAATAATGTTTGTGCTACTAAATATTAGTAAGTAGTGTAAGAAAAAACAAGTAAATATGGAAGAGGTGATTGATTCAAAACATGAAGACATCATGTATGATTTGTTGTTTTCTATTATTTACAAAGATATGAAATATAATTATGTTCTCTAATCTACTACAGAGTAGTTTTGGTCGTGAATTACAAGTGAGCAGTTTTAAGGCAACTTAGTGACCTACGACAGTGACAATATAATATAGATTAATCTGAGAATTGATTCTTTGATTAAGAACTGTTTCAGTAATATGTCTTGACATAACATTAACATCAAGAACTTTTGTGATTTTTGTTTAGAGAAGTCTTGCCCATGGAAATGATCCATTGAAACCATTTATTGATTTTGAAGCATTCTCACAGGAAATGGATCTGTCACGTAAGTATTTTAGTCAGTAATATACTTTACTTACTTACGCCTGTTACCCTACGTTGAGGAGTATAGGTCACCCACCAGTATTCTCCGTTCAACTCTGTCCTGTGTAAACTTTTCCAGTTGTTATTCATCCTTTTCATATCTGCTTCAGTCTTTCAGCGTAATGTGTTCTTTGGCCTTCTTCTTTTCCGCTTCCCTTCAGGATTCCGAGTTAGGGATTGTCTCGTTATGCCGTTTGGTGATTTCCTTAATGTTTGTCCTATCCATTTCCAACGTCTTTTCCTAATTTCCTCTCCAGCTAGAAGATGGTATGTTTTCTCCCACAGTAGTTTGTTGCTGATGGCATCCACCCAACGTATATTGAGTACTTTGTGTAGACGACTGTTTATAAATACTTATACATTTTTGATGATGGTTGTGATGGTTCTCCAAGTACAGTAGGACTGTCTTGACGTTTGTGTTGAAGATTGTGACGTTGATATTGATTGACAGTTGTTTTGAGTTCCATATGATTTTCAACTGTATGAATGCTATCCTTATTTTGTCAATCCTTGGTTATTCACACTATTACAATAAGTGTACAAATCAGACGGTGTGTTGTATTATATTTAATGAGAATTCCGTACAATTGGTTCCCATCACTAACATTTAAACAAAACAAGAATGGAAATATTCACCGAGCACAATAAACTGATTCATTGTATTATTATTAGCTTCATTCATTATTATATTTTTGGTACAATACGGGATTCTCAGCACAGTGTATTACAACAAGTTTCCTTTACTTAATTCTTGATCGACCCTTGTGATAAATATCGGATGGTCTCCAGTTAGATGTTATCACTTCAAGAATTTACAACTGATTAATGTATATTCTTTTCGTTGCATATTGCTAACAACTACGAAGCATCTGATTGGGCTCTTTTGTAACTTTTATAGCGAAATGTTTTAAACTTTTCAGAAACGTACCTGAATAAGTTATGCGACTAATAGTCATAATGATATGTTAAAACAAGCAAGAAAACAGATAACTTGTTAAAATATCCAGATGGCAGGAACAGGTAGCCCACGTATTCATGAAGGCCACCTTAGTGAGTTGATTTCTATTCAGATTCATATGAACTAGTAAACCGAATTATTTTTCATTATTAACATAATGTTAACTTGGACCGATGTATATATGTGCATGGTCCTACGTTTTGGCTGACTGACTGACTGACTGACTGACTGATTAACATAATGTTGAAAGATGAACTGTTAATCGGTAATGGTTAAACTATGTTAGTTGTGGATGAAGTTAAGAACTAAAGCTTCAAAATGGGGTTAATTATAACTACTTAAGGCGATAGTTCTAGAATATTAAAATAGTTTGATTAGGTAATAAAATATAAATTATAGTTATTTTTTGAAAGAAAGAAGAGGTAAGAGCTCAACTTATTAGATTTTCAGTAAGGGGTTGTGGAGATTGTTGGGTTTTTGTGATTGAAATCATGAATTGATCAATGTTAGACCACCACTGAAAACTTGGAAGCACTGGACGGCCGTTTCGTCTTGTGGAGCTCCTCAGAAATGCAAATCTACGATCTCACACATGCTTAACCTCTAGACCACCGAGCCAACATCTAACGGTGCTTTAAGCACTATATCCATTATGACTAAAATGATCAATTTGGAAAATTGTCGTGAGTAATGCATCATGTATTCAGAGCATTATATTTAAACAGGACATGTAAATATATATGTATGACGTAATATATATGTAGTGGACAAACAATCAAGTAGGGAAGATCAATATATTGTATAATGCAAAATTTCAACGCACCTTCATAAAAGAGGAAAATTTCACATCAGATTTATCATTTACACATCTCTCATCAGTTTACCTTCACATGATTCCTTCAATCCCGTTGTTATTACAATTACTTCCCATTTTCTTCAATTGAATCTTTCCAATCTTCTTCCGACTGGTGCTACATACTACTTATATCCGTCAACTTAAGTAGTATAAATGGCGTATATCGTACTATCCTATCACTATTTACTATGGCCTTTATTCTGGAAAATGCTAAGCTCGTAGTTACATGTAGGTCAACTTTATTTTTAGTAATGTAACATATATTCAACTCTAAGCAAACATTTACCATAGTTTGACTAAACTTCTAAACGGTACGTTTCCCATAGTAGATCATTTTTATCTAATGAAAACTACTGAATGGCCATTTAGTCCTAGCATGGGACTCAGAAGTGTGCATCCGTGATCCCACACGTACGATTCGGACCTAGGAAATTTCGTCTGGCTTGCAGACAAATAACCTCATAAATTCAACTGTTAAAACTACTTCAATCTCCACAAATCCCTATTCAAATGAAAGGCAATTGGAACATACACTTATTTATTTATTTGAGAACATAAATATTGATATAAAAGGGCACCAGATATATATGCGCCACACAAAAATCGTCATTTCATTTGATTGTATGAGGGCTATGATACTGCCCGGGTGCCCGGACCGAAGCAGGTGGTTTTCTTAAGGGGTCACACCAGGAGCCTTCAACCTAAAGGTCTGATCCACAAGGCAGTGGAGCATCGTGAGGAGATGCAGTCCCATGGTTTCCGGTTACCAATGGTTGATTCATACACCATTGGTTTCCTTAGGATATTGTAGCCCATGTTCACTATTGGTTTAGAATCAGAGTTTTCCTACTCCCCTAGGTGAACTTTCCGTGTCCACCAACCCGATTAAAGAGCCACACATTCTCTTTTCGTGTTCTCAATTTTGTAAACAAGAGTAACGCCACTAGAAGGCAATGAGTTGGACTTCCCTGTCAGAGGCTATATACACGTTGCCATGTAAGGGCATTTCGAAAGGGAGGGCGGGCCCTCCTCACTCTCTGCCGTACCACGGCATTTCTACTTAGTTTTAAGAAAAAAATATTACTTGAATCAATAGATTTTTTAAAAGATAATAATTACAAAACATGTTTCCATGGCAACAGATCCATAATATTCAAAAAAAATGTACCAGTACACATTGTATTACATTACATAGACTATTAATTATCTAATGTTAAATTAGTTAATTTAATTGAGATAGGGATTTTTACAAGTTTTCGATTACGTAATTGTTGAACATATTCATTAGTTGATTTGATCTCTTTTAATTTACGTTCTTGTATGTTGGATTCCATAGTCAATTTTTCATAGAATCGATTCCAATGAATTTCAGCAGATAATTCATTCTGATGTTGTTTTTTAGTTTCAACAGCTTTATTTAATCGGGATCTATGAAAGTAAATTTTGTAACAAAAAAGTAGCTATGACTGTAGTTAGAATCAAAAGGGGTTTTCATAGTTGAAATTATTAGTCAATTGAAACTAGACCACCACCATGGAAAAGCTGGAAGCACTGGAGGGTCGTTTCGTTTTATTATGGGACTCGTCAGCAGTGCGCATCCTTGATCCCACCACGCGAGATTCGAGCCAGAGACCTACTGTAGTTAACAATCAAATATATTTTAATGCAGCATTACAGAATAACTTGGTAAAATCTGAGAACCATACAATAGATACTTTATTTGCCACATATCAATCAATTTTTTCAGACTTTGTTGTTTCTTCATAGCCATAGCAATTAATCTCTGTTCTCGTTCTCTTCTCCTCGATCTTGATAACATTGTGCTGCCAAGCAAACCACTTTCGATTGATGATAAGTACTACTTATATCTGTCGACATTAGTTGCACACACACTATGTAATAAGTATAGAATTCAGTGACTGAAAGTGATTTCAGTAATAATGAAATATTAAATGCATAAAATGTAACGAAAACAAGAACTATACGGAAAACTCAGGTTATGATAAAGCTATCTTCAGAGGTACTTTTGTAAATTTTATTTTCAAATTAACTAAGAGGAGATCCATGCAATGATAATGATACACTGTAAGAATTGAGGAACTTTGGAATAACAATATGTATCGATGGGTACACTCTGTATGTCCTTTTTAACTTTATATATATAATTTATCGACTACTGATTAACCGTTTTAATGTACTAACTGCACCAAGTGACTGAAACTATAGTGGCGAGTGAGAATAGTATGCCAAGGAGGCTATGTACAAACATTTAACGTCCAAAAACATCTGATAGAATAACTAGTAGTGTTTGAACGGCTGGACTTAATGACAATGTAATCGCAATTAGGCTTTTCTCTGAGCAATTATATTAATTAAGAGTGGATAGAATTTAGCAATGGCTATAAATCTTGGGATGATGTAACTGATAATTAGAGGTTATATTCAGTAACGATCAATGTCACTATCATCAAGCTTCGGATTTAACACCTTTGGGTACACAGTCTCAACGTTCGCAGAAGACAAATCCAATACAAACCTAGGGTGAATTCTTTCGTGCTTTACCATCTGATTATTATGACGAATTACTTTCAACAGACTGGTGGCGAATTAGTTATCATTTTGCAACCAATAAAATTTTCTTTACCAAAATATAAAAATAAAGTGTGTTTTTAAAGAAAATTATTGTTCTTTTTGTGTATATTATACTAATTTTAATAGTTGAGATGATGAGTCAATGGAAGATAAACCACGATGAAAATCCTGGAAGCACTGGACGGTTATTTCATCCTGTTGTGGGACTCCTCAGCAGTGGATGCCGACTCTGTGCTCTGGAAGTTAGGCGTTCGCGTGTGAGACCGATAATTCCTGGGTTGGAATCTCGTGAGGCGAGGTTTTTCATGGTGGTCTAGCTAAGATTGACTTGTGAAGTCAACCTTAAAGTTGTATACTACAATTTTTAAACATCGTACGATAACATAGGAGAACAGTTAGAAAGACATTTTTCTAGCTCAGAATAAATGCAATATGTATTTAAAATTCCCTTGTGTTTTGATGTCCGATTATTGAACACTTCAACGTCAAAAAAGACTACTGTATATTAGTGATTTAAACATGACGCTTTCAGTAAAAAAAGTGCTTTCATAACATGGTTAATATCAACACTCATCTATTTTTCGCTATGATTGAAGAGATTACGAGATCACTGAAACCTGCGAACGGAACTAAGACTCAGAGACATAATAACCGGATAAGTTGACTAATCCGATGCTTCTCGGCCCCGCTAACTAGAAGTAGAAGCCTAGGTTCAGAAGAGGGAAAGTTAATCCCACAAGCACAATTCAAACGTATCAATACAACATAAAAATATCCTCGGGTAACGTCACAGAATAGAATATTAAAAGAGACGTTAAATTAATGAGATGTAAGATTTAAGATGTAACATTTACCAAGTGAATTTTAGGACGGGTTTTGTAGAGATTTCAGTATTTTCATAGAGATCCAGGAAATATCTCTTGAAGTCAGTTACTAGTGAGTATATGCTTATTATCAGAGGTGGTTTTGTGGAGATTTCAGTATTTTCATAGTTGAAATCATAAGTCAATTGAAGCTAATGAGAAGCAGTGACCAGTGGAGTTCAAACCATGTCTATTGTGAGATATCAACTCACTGAAGACAATCGGCAAACGGTTGCTCAACTTCGTGAATTGGTTGAACTTAAAAATTAACACCATTGGATGCCGGTCAGTTCAATGGTCTAGTGGTTAAGCGCTTGCACACGAGACTGATAGGTCTGATAGGTTCGAATCTCGCTAGCAAAGCGAGATCGTGAATGCGCACTGTTGAAGAGTTCCACAATAGGATGGAATGGCTGTCCATTGCTTCCAGGTTTTTCCATGGTGGTGGTCTAGTTCCAATTGACTCATAATCTTAACTATGAACTTCGGGAATCTAACATCCTTGAATTTACCTGATTTCATTTGTCCGATTTTGTAAATGTATAAGATGTTGACATTTTTCTTGTATGAATATTTCTCGATTTAATAATCTTTGTTTATAATTTATAGAATTTTCCGACAATCTCTCATTGATTTTTAAATGTTTTTGATAGTTACCAAGGGATTTAAGTTTTTCACGATTCATTTTTAGTTTTTCATTTAACTTAAATCAAAATACAAAAAAAAAAAGAAAATTATCGATGAGAAATATTCTTTTATTTTTACCGATGAGGAGATGATTTCATTAAAATTTGTACGTTAATATATAAAATGAAATAGGCGAACTGCTTGAACATCCGGGGCTACTTGTTCCTGTCATCTAGATCTTTCAATAAGTTATCTCATTTTGTTTGTTTTAATACATCATTATGACTATTAATCATACAACTTATTCACTTGCTTTTCTGAAAAGTGTATAACCATAACACTTTAAAGTCTAGGAGTCCGAATCTTACAGCCTGTTCTCAATCTTCAATTTGTATAATCATCAGTCAATGTCATTAGCAAATCACCATCTCATTCCCAATTTCATTGAACTCGAATTATTATATTCACTTGGTGATGTTTAATTGTATCTTAACATTGTTATTTAGGACTGCAATTGATTAGTCTCATGTTGGCACATGTGCTTCCTGTGCAGAATGCCTTGATATTGCCTGAAGTCACAAGTTCTATAAGCAATGATGGGCAGTGGAATCCAGTTTGACGCGCGTTTTGCCCTATTCGGGACTCGTCAGCTGAACGTACTGTGTTCGAGTCCCAGAGTGAACATCAACTCTGAGATGTGACAGGTAAATCCAGCTGACGAGTCTCAAATAGGACGAAAAGCGTATCAAACTGAATTCCACTGCTAGCTAAAATCTATCTTTGCTTATGAGATATAATGTTAATTAAGAACTATGTAAGTGAAAACCAACTGATAAAGTCTATCATACACAGTCATTGTTGGAACTACTCAATACATCTTGTAATCTATCTAACAAAGTAGATTCTTACTTCATTCTGTGCTTGAATTTGATCTGATTTCCGTTTATTGAATTGCATTTTTTCAATACTTCTTTGTTTTTGTAGCATAGCTATACGTTTATTATGTTTAATAAAATTCTCCCGGTATTTTTGTATATGAGATAAACGTAACTGACGTACATGATTTTGTTTTTCATTATATTGCCTAACATTATCTATTTGTTGATGCATTTTATCAATTTTTCGCCATAATCCAAGTGCAATACCAATCTATGAGAAAAAAAAAATGGAAAGAAGTTGTGAAACTGAACTGTTTAATGGACTTTTTTTCAGGGAGCTAAGCTAATTCTGTATTTATCCAGTTGAAGTAGCAATTTTACAGTCTTAAAGAGAAAGAAATTTCAGTAACAGTAAGAGTAATCTTGATGAATTATTTGCTGTCTTAGTGTATTTAATGTTATTTTGCGTTTAGCGAAACGTTACCAAATGAAACTTTGGGCAATTTTAAACGTTCTATCTATCTATCTGTGTGTCTATCTATCTATTTATCCATCCATCCATCTATCTATATGCCTATCTATCTATATGTCTATCTATCTATATGTCTATCTATCTAACTATCCATCTATCTGTCTGTTTATCTATCTGTCTGTCTATCTATCTATGTCTATCTCTGTATCTATCTATTTGTCTATCTATCTATCTAACTATCTATCTATCTGTCTGTTTATCTATCTATCTAACTATCTATCTATGTCTATCTCTGTATCTATCTATTTGTCTATCTATCTATCTAACTATCCATCTATCTGTCTGTTTATCTATCTATGTCTATCTCTGTATCTATCTATTTGTCTATCTATCTATCTAACTATCTATCTATCTGTCTGTTTATCTATCTGTCTGTCTATCTATCTATGTCTATCTCTGTATCTATCTATTTGTCTATCTATCTATCTAACTATCCATCTATCTGTCTGTTTATCTATCTATGTCTATCTCTGTATCTATCTATTTGTCTATCTATCTATCTAACTATCTATCTATCTGTCTGTTTATCTATCTATGTCTATCTATCTATGTCTATCTCTGTATCTATCTATTTGTCTATCTATCTATCTATCTAACTATCCATCTATCTGTCTGTTTATCTATCTATGTCTATCTCTGTATCTATCTATTTGTCTATCTATCTATCTAACTATCTATCTATCTGTCTGTTTATCTATCTGTCTGTTTATCTATCTATGTCTATCTCTGTATCTATCTATTTGTCTATCTATCTATCTAACTATCTATCTATCTGTCTGTTTATCTATCTGTCTGTCTATCTATCTATGTCTATCTCTGTATCTATCTATTTGTCTATCTATCTATCTAACTATCTATCTATCTGTCTGTTTATCTATCTGTCTGTCTATCTATCTATGTCTATCTCTGTATCTATCTATTTGTCTATCTATCTATCTAACTATCCATCTATCTGTCTGTTTATCTATCTATGTCTATCTCTGTATCTATCTATTTGTCTATCTATCTATCTAACTATCTATCTATCTGTCTGTTTATCTATCTGTCTGTCTATCTATCTATGTCTATCTCTGTATCTATCTATTTGTCTATCTATCTATCTATCTAACTATCCATCTATCTGTCTGTTTATCTATCTATGTCTATCTCTGTATCTATCTATTTGTCTATCTATCTATCTAACTATCTATCTATCTGTCTGTTTATCTATCTATCTAACTATCTATCTATGTCTATCTCTGTATCTATCTATTTGTCTATCTATCTATCTATCTAACTATCCATCTATCTGTCTGTTTATCTATCTATGTCTATCTCTGTATCTATCTATTTGTCTATCTATCTATCTAACTATCTATCTATCTGTCTGTTTATCTATCTATCTAACTATCTATCTATGTCTATCTCTGTATCTATCTATTTGTCTATCTATCTATCTAACTATCCATCTATCTGTCTGTTTATCTATCTATGTCTATCTCTGTATCTATCTATTTGTCTATCTATCTATCTAACTATCTATCTATCTGTCTGTTTATCTATCTGTCTGTCTATCTATCTATGTCTATCTCTGTATCTATCTATTTGTCTATCTATCTATCTAACTATCCATCTATCTGTCTGTTTATCTATCTATGTCTATCTCTGTATCTATCTATTTGTCTATCTATCTATCTAACTATCTATCTATCTGTCTGTTTATCTATCTATGTCTATCTATCTATGTCTATCTCTGTATCTATCTATTTGTCTATCTATCTATCTATCTAACTATCCATCTATCTGTCTGTTTATCTATCTATGTCTATCTCTGTATCTATCTATTTGTCTATCTATCTATCTAACTATCTATCTATCTGTCTGTTTATCTATCTGTCTGTTTATCTATCTATGTCTATCTCTGTATCTATCTATTTGTCTATCTATCTATCTAACTATCTATCTATCTGTCTGTTTATCTATCTGTCTGTCTATCTATCTATGTCTATCTCTGTATCTATCTATTTGTCTATCTATCTATCTAACTATCTATCTATCTGTCTGTTTATCTATCTGTCTGTCTATCTATCTATGTCTATCTCTGTATCTATCTATTTGTCTATCTATCTATCTAACTATCCATCTATCTGTCTGTTTATCTATCTATGTCTATCTCTGTATCTATCTATTTGTCTATCTATCTATCTAACTATCTATCTATCTGTCTGTTTATCTATCTGTCTGTCTATCTATCTATGTCTATCTCTGTATCTATCTATTTGTCTATCTATCTATCTATCTAACTATCCATCTATCTGTCTGTTTATCTATCTATGTCTATCTCTGTATCTATCTATTTGTCTATCTATCTATCTAACTATCTATCTATCTGTCTGTTTATCTATCTATCTAACTATCTATCTATGTCTATCTCTGTATCTATCTATTTGTCTATCTATCTATCTATCTAACTATCCATCTATCTGTCTGTTTATCTATCTATGTCTATCTCTGTATCTATCTATTTGTCTATCTATCTATCTAACTATCTATCTATCTGTCTGTTTATCTATCTGTCTGTCTATCTATCTATGTCTATCTCTGTATCTATCTATTTGTCTATCTATCTATCTAACTATCTATCTATCTGTCTGTTTATCTATCTGTCTGTCTATCTATCTATGTCTATCTCTGTATCTATCTATTTGTCTATCTATCTATCTATCTATCTATCTATCTATCTATCTATACGTCTATCTATCTATACGTCTATCTATCTATCTATCTATCTATATGTCTATATTTTTATTCTTATATTCATTTTGAACTGTAATAGTTGAAAATGAAATTCATTGATATATCATACACTGGTATCATAACATTTATTATTTGTCAGAGTTAATCGGTATATTATAGTTTGTAAGTAAGTTTTTATTGTTGTCAAAGAATGTTTCTCGTCCCATAATAGGACGAAACGGCCGTCCAGTGCTTCCAGGTTTTCCATGGTGGTGGTCTAGCTTCAATCGACTCATGACTTCAACTATGAAACATAAATTATTCAGTGAAAATTGGACATTTACAAGAAATTTAAAAATTGGACATTTATTTCTATTGGTTCACATTGTAAATGAATATTCTGTACTAATACCTACTTAAATACAAGTTATGTAACTTGTAAAAGGAAATGAAGCTTTATCGAAATTTAACTACTGATTATGAATGGAATTTATTGATGACATCATCATCTTTTTAGAGTTTCTTTTAGTAACTTTAGTTTATTCGAACTAGAGATATAAACATTATAAGCAAAAATGGATGGCAGATATCAGTGAGAACAGGGATGTGTACCACTTCGTCCTATTTGGGACTCATCAGTAGGATGTGCCTGAATCCGAGTTGATGTTCACTCCATGACTTGAACCTGGTACCGCTGGCATCAAACATCATCGGATTATTCACTTAGCTCTTGATTCCAGATAGCCACTAGCCTGTGCAATGGGGTGAAGTTCTCATTCTAATTCATAACTGTTTGTTAATAGTCAAATAGTATAAGAGAATTTCTTTGAAGCTTTATAATGACAAAGAATTTCGTGCATTTTGATAGCGATACAATATTGATAGTTATTAGAGAGTATTGATGTTGTTTCGTGAACAAATAAGAAACTTAATTATTGATTTTATTAGAGACCAACGATGTGAAGAAGTTGAGAGATAAGCTAAACTGAGGTAAGTCTCTAATAAATATTTTTCCATATTGGCAACATGACTGCTGTTTAAGTCTTTTAAAGCGACAAACTCAATGGTATCACTATGGTATTTAACGTTATCCATATAAAACACATTAATTAACTAACTAAACCTTTGGTAAGCAGAAATGGATAGTGGCTAGCAGTAGAATCCAGTTTGACGCGCGTTTCGCCCTGTTTGGTACTCGTCAGTTGGATGTACCTGCATCTCAGAGTTAATGTTCGTTCTGAGACTCGAACCTAGTACCTTTCGCTTGCAGGTACATTCAGCTAACGAGTCCCAAATAGGACGAACCGCGAGTCAAACTGGATTCCACTGCTAGCCACTATCCATCTTTGCTTACAATGCTTGTGAATTAAGACTATATCGAGGCAATACGTACAGCATGCCCATATACCAATTAGAGATTGACCAGTTACAGTCCTAAACATCGATGGGAAGATTCAAACAAACAATACTAAAATGAGTTTAACTAAATTTTTGTTGAGAAAGTATTCTACTTGGAAAACAAATAGGAAGCTTTACAGGATACCTCTGCTATTGATCTATGAGGAAACAGATTTCTTTGTTGCTGTTGCTTTTGTCCGGTTTCTATTATTTTTTCTACAGACATAGCTGGGTGTTTCGCGAAAATATTTTCTGAACATGGTGTATTGAATCGCTGACAGTAGAATTCAAAACTTCTTTGAGTATTGATCAAATTGTTTGATCTAGGAGATATATCACTGATAAACAGGATAAAGAAATTAAAAGTCAGTGAACACATGAGTGGAATTGATTTAAACTTTTCGTTTGCTATCAAGTCGCTCGAAATAATCATTAGGATATGTTGAACCTAGGTTTTATACTACTTTGAACTTGTTATCAAGGATTGAATGAAATTTCAAGGGAAATGATGGTCCGTGTGGAATGTAGACTCGCGCTATCCACTTTCACTGAGCTAGTTGGCAAAACAGTTAAGCGCTTTTGAAAAGTGATAACTAGCATTAAACCTTGATCCGAGGTATCCTGACAACTTCATCCAACCATAACACACGGAAATCAGTGAGGATATTGGGATATTGTCGATGGAACGTAATTAGCAGTGAGGACTAGATAGACACGGAATTAGCTATCAATCAGTGCATGTATTCACAGTGTGATTTAAAAATAGGACAGTATTCCGAGTTATTTAAATACTTTCATATATGCCCCAGTAAAATTTGAAGGAGAACTTTTTTATTTGATAATCAAACTAGTATCTTGAATGGACCAGTGCTAGACCACCATTGAAAACCTGGAGGCACTGGATGGCCGTTTTATCCTAGTATAGGACTTCTAAGTAAAACGTACCCACGACTCCACTCTTGAGACTCGAACATGAGATCTTTGGTTTCACACGCGAACGATTAACCTCTAGGCCGTTGGGCTGGGATCCAGTGCTGTTAATGTCTAACTTTAACCAATCCATGATAGTGAGCAACTACGCGCGAGGCCTAAGGTCCTCCGCCGGAGTTCCGCATGGAGAATCGTAGATACGTACTGCTGAGACGTCCCATACTAAAACGAAACAGCCGCCTAGTGCTTCCAGATTTTTATTGATGGTCTTGCTTACATCGATTCATGAATTCAACAATTAGAATACTGTTAAATTAATCAATCGTAAGTGGTTATAAAAAAGAGTAACTCATATTATTATTACATCACATGTGTTGTTTCATAACTAGATTAACAAAACAATTAGACTCGTAAATATACAGGATTGATCTTTCTATGTACGCTTGTATATATGTAATAAAATAGTAATTCAATCTAGTTAACTTATATCCAACATAATTTATTCAAGCATGGTTACTTGTTACTAAAATTTATGGTTTAGACAAAGACATTTTTCATTCATTTCATTTCATTTACGCCTGTTACTCCCAATGGAGCAAAGGATGCCAACCAGCATTCTCCAACCCATTTTGTCCTGCGCCTTCCTTTCTAGTTCTATCCAATTTTTGTTCATTCTTCTCATGCCTGTCCCTATTTCTTGGCGTAATATGTTCTCTGGTCTTCTTCTTTTCTTTCGGTCTTCAGGATTCCATGTGAGGGCTTGTCTTGTGACACTTGGGTGATTTTCTCAATGCGTGTCCTATCCATAAACAAAATCATTTGTTTTGAAATGTTTTGATATTATGTTGTTGTTTTTTCTTCTTCCGTATACTTTTCAATGTCATGAGTTAATCAACTAGTCGGACAGTAACTACGAAATATGGAGCATTGGATAGTTATCTCTTCCTGGTATGGGACATATCATTAGTGGAGATCTTCGACTCTATGACAGATTGAACTCAGGATAATCAATCTAGTGACAACGTATCTAGACTTTAGACTATTTAGTCGACATTTGGGACAAATGGAATTCAATTGTGTCTAGCATGCAAAAGTTATTCATATTAGTTCATGGGAGATGGTAGCATAATGCCGAAAAGTGATTGAATTTAGTCGGCTCAATGGCTCTGACCTTAAGGCCTTCAGATTCTGGGTTCAGATTGCAGTGAGGTAATAAATGGGTGGTTCCATGTTAAGGGCTCTATATTAGGACGCGATGAATATTCCCAGTGCTTTTTGGTTTTTAATGCTTGTCTGATGAAGACCAGTCTTTGATGTAAACTATGTAAGGTTTTATGCTTCTTTCGTTCTTGACCGATAGAAGTAATTTCAAATAAAGAAAATCGTTTTTAGAAAAAAAATTATTCAGCCTTTATATGGTACAGGCAATTCAAAATAAAAGTGAATACTTATAAACCTAAGTACGACAATGCAACTTGTCACTGCTATCGTACTCATTAAAATGGTTTAATGACCCTATATCACTGCTTCATAAAATATTAGAATGAGCTAGAATATCAAAAGTTACTTTGAAATAGATAAGAAGGGTTGCGCAAAAACGTGGATCGGTTGAGGTTAACAGTTAACACTGTTTAATGTCGGTTCATTTGTCGAGAGGTTGAGCGTTCACGCACGAACCTGAAGACCTGGGTTCGAGTCCTGCGTGCGGGGTCGTGAGTGCTTACATCTGAGGAGTCCCATACTAGGACGAAACGACCATCCACTGCTTTCAGGTTCCCAATGACGGTCAAGCCTAGATTGAGTCGTAACTTCAATTTTGAAAATATTATAATCTCCAAATATCTCGAAAATTGAAAGTAAACATTATTAATAACTGTTGAAAACCAAATGAATGACAACATGGTGCTTTGATCATAAATTTTATGGAATAACTCTTACACTGTCTAGTCAATGATTTTATAGTGCATTATAGGTTGCAGGATGATTTTGATGATCTGGTGTCATGTTCTGTTCTGACAACTTTTACCATATATATTTATTAATTGTTATTTAAACACATATATGAAGACGTCAACATCTGGAGGAAATCACGGGATACAGTGGACAGGCAGGATGCAACTTGACGATCTAGACTTCGCGGATGATCTGGCTCTTCTATCACAAACGCAACAACAAATGCAGGAGAAAACGACCAGTGTAGCAGCAGCCTCAGCAGCAGTAGGTCTCAATATAAACAAAGAGAAAAGCAAGACTCTCCGATACAACACAATATGCACCAATCAAATTACACTTGACGGAGAAGCTTTGGAGGATGTGAAAACCTTTACATATCTGGGAAGCATCATTGATGAACATGGTGGATCAGATGCAGATGTGAGGGCGAGGATCGGCAAAGCAAGAGCAGCATACCTACAACTGAAAAACATCTGGAGCTCAAAACAATTGTCAACCAACACCAAGGTTAGAATTTTCAATACAAATGTCAAGACAGTTCTACTGTATGGGGCGGAGACGTGGAGAACTACGAAAGCCATTATCCAGAAGATACAAGTGTTCATCAACAGCTGTCTACGGAAAATACTTCGGATCCGATGGCCAGACACTATCAGCAATAAGTTACTGTGGGAGAGAACAAACCAGATTCCAGCAGAGGAAGAAATCAGGAAGAAGCGCTGGAAGTGGATTGGGCACACCTTGAGGAAATCAGCTAATTGCGTCACAAGACAAGCCCTCACATGGAATCCTGAAGGTCGAAGGAGAAGAGGAAGACCAAAGAACACATGACGCCGAGAAATAGAGACAGACATGAGAAGAATGAACAAGAACTGGATAGAACTAGAAAAGAAGGCCCAGGACAGAGTGGGTTGGAGAATGCTGGTCGGCGGCCTATGCTCCATTGGGAGTAACAGGCGTAAGTAAGTAAGTAAGTAAGTATGTTTGTACAAAGGGGCACCAGATACATATACGCCACACAAATCTCATTTGATTTGTGTATTATCTGTAATACTGCCCACGTGCCCAAATCGAAGCAGGTGGTTTTCTTAGGGGACCACACCTGAAGCCTTCGACCTAAAGGTCTGATCCACAAGGCAGTGGAGCATCGTGAGGAGATGCAGTCCCATGGTAGCTGGTGACCAACAATGGTTTCATTCGCCATTTGTTACTTCAGGATACTGGAGCTAGCACATGTACACCATTGGTTTGTAATCAGGTTTTTCCAACTCTACTAGGTGGACTTTCCGTGTCCCACAACCCGGTTAAAGCGTCAGGCACTCGCTTTTCGTCCTCTCAATTTAGTAAACATTAGTAATGCTGCTAGAATGCAGTGAGTAAGACTTCCGTGGCAGATTCCATATACGCGTGACCATGTGAGAGCATATCAAGTTGATTTAACTGATTGATTGGTATATGTAATATGATTATTGTAATTATCAAGAAAGTATTTAAGTCTATATAACCCTACCTTTTCTCATATATGTACTGAAATACTGATTTTTAGAGAAAACTTACCATGATTTGTTATTCAAATCATTGATTGTCGGTACTTTGATGATTAAACTATGTGAAGGTTCTGTTTGCTTGGATTGCTATGAATAAAAGAAATTTTATCAGTTATTTAGATGAGTTACGTAATAGTATTTCTAAAGATTAAAAATTTACGGGGGACGGGACTATAATTTTGACTTTTGAGGGACGCTGAAGTGACCCAGACAGTGTACACCTACTAACTCGGACTAAATGAGGGTTATAAACTAGTTTGAGAAATTAAAATTTGGATTGACAATTAATGGTTAAGGTTAAAAATTAGATTAGCCAAAATCCAAGACTCAGTCAGTCAGTCAGTCAGTCATAAAATATAATCTCGCAAAATTTATTATTTGAATATCAATCTTTTATAGTCAGAAGGGGATTTGTGGAGATTTCAGTATTTTTCATAGTTGAAATCATGAGTCAATTGAAGTTAGACCACCATCGAAAACCTGGAAGCACTGGACGGCCGTTTCGTCCTATTATGGGACTCCTCAGCAGTGCGCATTCGCGAGATTCGAACCCAGGACGTACCAGTCTCGAGCCAGAGCCCTTAAATACTAAACCACTGAGCTGGCCGGCATCCAACGGTGTTAATGTATAACTTCAACCAATCCACGAAGTTGAGCAACCGTTTGCCGATTGTCTTCAGTGAGTTGTTATCTCACAATAGACGTGGTTGAACTCCACTGCTGAGACGTCCCATAATAGGACGAAACGGCCGTCCAGTGCTTCCAGGTTTTCGATGGTGGTCTAACTTCAATTGACTCATGATTTCAACTTTGAAAAATCTTTTACAGCTTATGTGAAATTTAACCAGTGTATTATTTTAATAACTTTAGTCAAGTAATTTAATGAGATGTTTTATCATAGTTTAAAGCATGAGTTAATTAAAGCTAGATCACCAAGGAAAACCTAGAAGCTTTGGGTGACAGTTTCGTCCTATCGCGGGACTTCTCAGCAGTGCATTGATCAACTTACTCAACTATCAATCAATGAAAGACAGGGGATACAATATTGAAGTATTTAATCAAGCTAAAGTAATAATCTACAGAATTATATAATGAATTAAGGATTATTGTATTAATTTAAGAGTTTTGATCAGATTCGTCTCAAGAATTAAATAAGATTTTCAAAGAAAACTTTCCTTTGCTATAAAAATAGATAAAGAAAAAAATTTGATCAAGTTTATCAATTGAGTTCAATTGACTGTAATGCATAGACTGTAGACCAATTCTTCGATATTATTATCATAGTGACTAAACAGAGTGGGCAAACCTTCCAGTAGAAAGAAATTATGGTTCATTTATTTCACTTATTTATATGTTTCAGTGATTAAAATAATTATAAACGAGATTGTTCCAATTAGATTTACAGGATAGTACTTATCTTTAACCAATAAAAAAGATACTGAATTGATATTATTTAAAAATTGATCATCACAAGTGATGGAGGAACATTGAAAGATGTAGAAACATTCACGAACCTGGAAAGCATCATTGATAAACAAGAAGAATCTGATGCAGATATCAAGGTGAAGATTGGCAAATCAATGGCAGCATTTCTACAATTGAAGAACATATAGAACTGAAAACAACTTTCAACTAATTTCAAAGTGAGAACCTTCAATACGAACGTCAAGACAGTCCTACTGTATGGAGCTGAAACTTGGAGAACTACTTCATCCATCGTCAAGAGGGTACAAGTATTTATAAACAATTGTCTACGCAAAATAATCAACATTCACTGGCCGGATACTAACAAGAACAACGTTTTATTGGAGAGGGGAAACCAGCTTCCATCTGAAGAGGAAATTAGGAAAACATGTTGGAAGTGTATAAGACATACATTGATGAAATCACCAAACTGTATCACGAGGAAAGTCCTAACTTGGAATCCTGAAGGGAAGCGGAAAATAGGAAGGCCAAAGAACATGTTACGCCGAGAAATAGAAGCAGATCTGAAAAGGATGAATGTTAACTGGAAAGGATTGTCCAGGACACGGTTGAATGGAGAATACTGATGTGCAACCTATGCTCTTCCACGATGGCTAACAGGCGTAAGTAAGTAAGCAAGTAATTATACTTCATCTAGAGACAGAAAGGCATAGTTATATTCAACAAAAATTTATTGAAATGATTTTTTTTGTCAAATGAACAGACTTCACAACTTTTATGCAATGCAAATTTAAGGATAAATTCTGTAGACATTCTAAAAATGGTATTTCATTTTGACACCTTGATCCTATCAATCTTAGACTACTATTAAAACACCTGAGAGCAGTAAATGGCCGTATGTATATGGAAACTATTGTCAATTGTAGGAACAAATGGACTAGTATTGGGGACGGTTTGAAGAAAGTTAGAGGGGGCCAAAACAAAACGTGGCATCAGTGCTTGAAGTCACCAACTTCTAGTCTGAACCATGTTGTAGTAGATGCAGACAACTTGGTTGGGGTCCACTTGACTATCTTAACCAATGGTTGGAGAATCTGGGTGACATGGCTCAGAATCGATCACAATGACGTAGGTGTACACACTCTCTGTCTTCCTTTAAACCTTAAGATGAAAATTGCTTCATATCTTTCTTTCTTCCTATACTATATCCTAATATACAACCTTTCTTTTGTATATTACCAACATTAAGTTAACTCCTTCTATGAATTCGGTATTCATCTTGTTGTGTTAATGAGGTTATGACAACTTGGATCGATGTATATATGTGTCTGGACCTACATTGTAGCTGACGGACTGTACATGACTTACTCATTCACTCACACAGAGGTAGTCATGACATTGCATTCCTCGAAACTATATATAAGTTACTGTTGTGAAATATTTTAAGTATACATTTCACTGAGAAATTTATATATACTCTGAAGATATTTGGTTCATCACAAATCCTACGTGTAAGATCGCGAATACACACTATTGAGGTGTGCTAATACTAGGACGAAACAACAGTTTTGATACTTCCAAATCTTTAATATTACTCTAACGTTGATCAATTTCCTTGATCCTAATCAATAATTCAACAATCTCTATAACCCTATACGGATCATCTTTAAATGAATTATTCACACTGAAATAGAATAAATATTTATAATGAATTTACCATTATTACATTGGAATCTTTAATCAGTTCATTATAGATCTCTTCATTAAATTGTATAGAAGGAAATGGGCATAGAATTTGTTTCATAATTTGTAATGATTTCCAGTTAGTATGGAAGGTATTCTAGTCGATGAGATTGATTGAATTCATTGAATGTTCTTTTTTTTAAATGATTTCACTATGAAGGAAGAATAATTTCCACAGTTGCCTTTTTTTTAAATGTAACTAACAACAAAAGTCTAGTTGTTTGTTACGATGACAAATCTATGAATCCATCCATCTATCTAAGTATATCCATATATATCTTGATGTAATTAGGTTAAGGGTATAGAAAGATGGTGATTGAAACAATGTGATCAACCAACCAACCAACCAACTAATCAACCGAACAACAATCAATTATATTTACAACTGACCTTAAGGTTATTTGTCATTGATTAGTAAAGAAGATGTTTGATAGTATAATTAATTGATCATTGAAATTGAATACTATACTGGTCAAGTGTTTGAGTTAGTTTAGATAGTTTTATTAATTCATGGATCGATTGAAGTTAGATATTAACATTGTTGGATGCTGATTTAGGGATTTAGAGGTTAAGAGTTCGCACGCGAGACTGAAGTTCCTAGGTTCGAGTACCGCATGCGGGATCGTGAGTGCTCACTACTGAGTAGTCCCATACTAGGACGAGATAACCGTCCCCTCCTTCCAGGTTTTCGGTGATAGTCTATGATATATTCTAGTGAAGACGTAAGTACAGGTAATTCCCAGGACCTATTAATGGACTATTATTCTATATGTATTCTTATTGTTTAACAATTGAATAATTAGATTATGTATGTCTATATTCATCTTATTATAAGCTTTATTTTGACGTTATTATGACGTTTCGATGTACAAGGCATAAAGACAACTATGTATTGAGATAAGATGGTGGTTGGAGGTGGTCAACAGGAAATCCTGGACCCCGGACTCATGCAACTTGGCAATCGTCAGTAAGGTGTACCTGTAATTTTGAGGCAACTGGTGCTGCCTGACGGATTCGATCCTGTGTCACTCTGCCTGAGCTATTGGGGCCAGGACCGACCTCCTGTCGGACTGAGATGTAATCACAATTGATTGATCACTGGGTGGTGATTAATGTCATGCGTGTCAAGTCCTCCTAAGCGCTGATCGGATGCTATCGATCAAGACTAGTGGCCACATTGCAACTTGATCGATAGCATTCGATCAGCACTAAGGAGGACTTGACACGCATGAAATTGATCACCACCCAGTGATCAATCAATTGTGATTACAATTATGTATTCCATACACTGATGAAAACTGGTTGACTACTTGCAAAAACATTCATGGCTAAAAACAAATAGCAGTTGATTTATACTGTATTACCAGTATGGGGATTTGTGGAGATTGTATAATGTTCACAGTTGGAATCACGAGTCGACCTTAGCTACACTACGATTGAAAACGTGGAAGCACTGGACGGTTGTTTCCTCCTAGTATGGGGCTCTTCAGCAATGCGCATTCCCGTTGTAGGATCGTGGATGAGCACTGCTTGTGTATGTGGTTCTAATTCACATCATAGTAACTTTTACAATTTTAATCTGGATGTAATTATGAGTTCTTTGTTCAACAACATGCAATGACATAAAATGGTAAAAAACCACTGGGAACAAAACAGTGGGAATACGTTCGATTCGGGTTTCTAAATGTCTAACACATGACATCAGACATTATGGCTTCCAGTAATTTCAAGTATTGCAGTGAACACAACACTTTTAGATCAGTCAATGATTCAGAAGTAAATTTCCAACTTCAGCCAGTGCAAGATACTACATAAGTATGAGCTACTGATGCAGTTGACTTACTCTCTACATGAATATGTTCACTATTGCAACAATGTTCCAGGGGTATCTAGTGTTCAGTAATTCTCCAGTTAACATCCATCTGTAATATGAAAAAAGGTTTAATTGGGAAAAATCTCAAAGAAAACCCATCAAACATAAAGCAGTACAAATTATAAGACATTTTGCATAATTGATGAAGCAATCTTAAATATCATCTAAATATTACGTTATATAATATACTCTTGTGGGCCAGGGTAACTTTGCACTAGTTTTCAGGAGAACCAGACACCAATCAGACTTTCACGTGACAACCCAAACAGTACAACTCAATCCCGTTTAACAGGAGAGCCAGAAACTGCCCAGGCTTAACCCGAGCAGTACAGCTCAATTTCGCCCCATAAGAGAATCAGACACTATATGAGCTTCAACGCTACAATCCGAACAGTACAACTCAATCCTGTGGAGCAACTACACAGGTACCAAGCACCCTGGTGGACCATAAATATCATCTAGTGGCAAAAACAATTTAAAAACCAGTTTATAGAGTTAATTTACCTAAAAGTATTAACACAGTGTAAGTATTGGGATTAAGAAAATGTGTGTACAAGAAATCGGAAGGAAGGATATCGACTGATATTTTGAATGTCTACATTATTTTCTCTTATACAAAGTTTAATTTGTAAAATTACTGTTTCAATTGTCTTGTAAATCTTTAAAACAGTAGTTTGACCATATAATTTTCGAACATTGAATTGACAGTTTATACTTTCATATAACTTGAAATATCTGATGTTTATTCATTTATTCAAACACATAAATATTGGCACAAAGCGGCACCAGATATATATGCGCCACACATATCTCATTTGATTTGTGCCCAAACTGAAGAAGGTGGTTTTCTTAGGGGGCCACACCCGGAGCCTTCGACCTAAAGGTCTGATCCACAAGGCAGTGGAGCATCGTGAGACGTAGTACCATGGTAGCCGGTGACCAACGATTGATTCATAAGCCATTTGTTCCCTTAGGATACTGGAGCCGGACATTCGCTTTTCGTCCTCTCAATTTCGTAAACAACAGTAATGCCAAGAGAAGGTAGTGAGTAGGACATCCCTGTCAGAGGCTATATATGCGTGGCCATGTGAGAGCATTTGGAGAGGGAGAGCGAACTCTCTTACCTCTCGGCCGTACCAGGGCATTTGGGGGCAATATCTGATGAGAATAAGAAGAAAACATTTTATGCGTATTTCTATCATACTGAATGTAGTAACCTGAATGATACCAGTTATGAATGAGTTATAGTCTTTCTGGGAAATAATACTAACACAAACTTTGAAGTGACTTAGGCTACTAGAAATTTTCCCCACGTAGCAGCTTGATCTGTTAATATGGGTTGTGAACGATAGAGAGTTAGACAATGAAAACGTCAGAATTGCTTGTAGTGATGAACTGCTTATAATGTCTATCAGAGAGGCTGTTAGCTGCTGGTCATGGATAAACAATAAGTTATCACAGGTGTAGTATTTCTATTAATAATTTAGCCAAGGAAGACGATTACACTATTTGATCCATGAACACTACAGTACAGAAATCCATCTGTTGAACTACAAATCTTCTCCATCATTTCCAAAAATCAAAGTTGCTTAGTTGATATTTGTGTTAGATGTCTTATCCTGGTACCCTGACACTATTTATCAGTTTCGTCTTCTAAAATGCTATGGACTAGTTCTTAAGAACTAACACAATATCCTAATATTCTAAAAAATAATTGGGTTAATTTTGTCGTGAAGTTACACAACTGATCAATTTTGTACTGATATGTATTGTACAGACTAAAGTTTTGAATATATTTAACATCATACTTAACCTAGGAATGTATGAAAGTTGTCGGAAATCCATTTTGTTTCTACAGTCATTTCAGATAAACGAATTGAATGTAGACCAATGGACTGCAACGTATACCTAATTTCGCCCAAATCCAATCAAGCAAACTCATAGGTAGCAATTGTTTTGGCCTTCGAAAACGGATAATCAAGGATCATCTTCACATACAATATGTTTGACTTTCTCTAATCAATGTCACTAAAGAACCTATTTTCAATGCAAACGATGCTAAACTACTATTGTTCCTTTCAGTAACATATTCAAAAATATAACATGCTTATTTAGTAAATAAATTCAAAAGTCGTAGCATCTAAATGATTACGATAAAGGGAATTCAATATATTTTAGTCAAGATGACCCCAATTTATGTTATGGAGGGTCGAACGTAGTGAGAGTAGGGACTATCTTGTGAGTAATCACTTAGTTACGGTGACATGTTTGATGTAATGAAACGAGATGGTTTTAAAAAAATGCTTAAAGTGATTAATAATATATTGGATAGTATTAAATTGATAAAGGAGATCGAATTCAGGTAGTTGAATGTCAGGGTTAATGAACACAAATAATCTTTAAAACATGTTGAAAGATCTTCAATGAACTTGAAAATAGATCTGTAAAAGCATTACATGTATTAGGAACCGGGTATAAGATCGATTTTCAAGGAACCAAACTACTTTAAAAAAGGTTTTATGAGTCAACTACAGCAACATTGACAGAAGAGACCAAATACAGTTAGCTATACACGTTGAGAATTCTTAGCTAACGGATGAACAACAGGACCTTAAACTTCCTTCCATTGCCTAATGATGGACACCAATATCCATGGATACTTACTTAGACTTTATATTTTAATTAATCTGTGATTATCATTAAAGTAATTCAACTTTAACATCACAATTATGTGAATGATCTAATTCTATTCATCCTTACGACTTATACTTTCAACAAACATAAAGGACGATCAACTGTCCTTAAATGTGAACAATGACATAATTTACTACTTTTTTCCCAATAACAATGACATACAAATAAAAGAACAGATTTTTCATATTTGGTATGGAGGGAGAGGAAAAAAAGGAAACGCTGAATTTCAACTCAATGTGATTTCTGTTTAACAATACTACCGTTTTTTTTTTTTAAAAAAAATTCAGTTACATGATTATTCAGTGAAATCCAGAACGTGCATTTCGTCCCATCTTAGGACTCATCAGCTGAATGTACCTGTATCCCAGAGTTGATGTCCACATCAGGACTTAAACCTCGTACCGTTTAATTCAAAATAGAACGAAACGTGAATCATGGATTCCACATCTAGCCACCATTCATTTCTGAGTATAATGTCTGTAACTTAAGGCAATATTGAGGCAATGCGTACAGAATGCACATAAGTCAATAAGAAAACTGATCAACTGTAATCTTAAACATCAATGGGAATATTCAAACAACCAATATAAAAAAGAAATAACATTGATTTATTTCAGTGTGATACGATTTCCCTTGTATCAAATTAACATGAACCATGTTTAGCATACAGCATGTGATTTGTTATAATTCTAAGCATTTGTAAAATATATATGACTCTTTTCTAATTAATGGATGTAAAATTCAATCTATATAGGGGTGTATTTTCGAGTGGGAACATACTCAACGTTGGCACGACAAATTAGTGAGTCGTAGGCTGGAATAATGGTCATGTTTACGTTCATGTAGCCAATGTAATGGTCATATTGATGTAATTTTTTATTTAAAAAATTATGTGTTGTGAATTTCGCTATGACTGTAAATTTGTATTCATCATGTTAGACTGCGTTAAGTCGGACGCAGTAACCAATAGAGTTCAACCATGTCTGTTGTGAGATATCAACTCACTGAAGACAATCGGCAAACGGTTGCTCAACTTCGTGGATTGGTTGAAGTTAGACATTAACACCGTTGGATGCCGGCCAGCTCAGTGGTCTAGTGGTTAAGCGCTCACGCACGAGACTGATAGATCCTGGGTTCGAATCTCGCTCGCGAGGCGGGATCGTGAATGCACACTGTTGAGGAGTCCCACAATAGGATGGAACGGCCGTCCAGTGCTTCCAGGTTTTCCATAGTGGTCAAGCTTAAATTGACTCATGATCTCAACCACATATTACATACTGGATTAATATTTCAAGTCATACAAAGCTTAACAAATGTTGTGGTTGTTTTGAAATAGACCTTCAGTGAACATGTTACTGGAGAAAGGTTCCAAGCCAAGTTTAGTTCTTGTAGTTGATTCAAAAAAATTTAAACACCAACACTTAGAGTGTCACATAAGTTGCGGGATTTCATTACACTAAATGATTAAATCTTGCAGCAACTCGAAAAGGTTAGCGGAAAAACACAGAACGAGGCAAGCCGATCGCCATTACTTACGGGCGATAATGATAATTCCCGCTTTATTCTGATTGGTCAGTAAGTAGACTGTCGAAATTGCGAACCGGAGTTGAGTTTATTTCCAGTCGTTTTTTCGACTACGTTCACCATCGCGTTTTTAAGATGGAATAAACCTACGTTTGTGCCAGTCTTTTCTGCTCTTACTTTTCGTCGTGGGAATTGTAGATGTTCCTTATTTCATGTATAGGTAATAGGTGACCCGGATATAAAAGTATTGTATTGTCTCGTAATCTTATTTATAAAAATAATGAGCACAGTTGAATAAGATATTAGTGTAATTTTATTATTTATACTTGATATCCTCTTTGATAATGCTGATTTCGATCGTGTTCCTCCCTGAAGAAGTTTAGATGAGACTTGCTGGTAAAACGTTGAAATAAGTTAAATTTATATATATATATATATATATATATATATATATATATATATATATACCAAGATCAGAATTTTCAATACAAATGTCAAGACAGTTCTACTGTATGGGGCGAAGACGTGGAGAACTACGAAAGCCATCATCCAGTAGATACTAGTGTTTATTAGCAGTTGTCTACACAAAATACTTTGGATCCGATGGCCAGACACTATCAGCAACAAGCTACTGTGGGAGACAACAAACCAGATTTCAGTGGAGGAAGAAGCGCTGTAAGTGGATAGAGGACACACAATGAGGAAATCATCTAACTGCATCACAAGACAAGCCCTCACATGGAATCCTGAAGGTCAAAGAAGAGGAAGACCAAAGAACACATTACGCCGAGAAATGGAGACAGACATGAGAAGAATGAACAAAAACTGGATAGAACTAGAAAAGAAGGCCCAGGACAGAGTGGGTTGGAGAATGCTTATGCCTATGCTCCATCGGGAGTAAGTATATATATATTCATATTATATAATTATTAAATATTTAGACTACTGCATTCCGATATCCTTCTAGTTTTATTCTTTCATTTGGTACATAAACTATTGTTGTATGTTTTACCTATCTTAGAATATTATTAATTAATTACAAACCTATCACTTAGTTTCTCATAACACTTATGATATAATTATGCACCCACTGTAATTTCCTATTTGTTTATAACCGAGAAATTATTCTATATTATAGTATAAGTTGACTCAGACTCAGGAACTACTGCATAAAAGATATCATATATGTTGTTGCTATTTTCATCTTTTGATTGAGGAATGGGATAGAAGGAACTCGAGGATCAATAGACATTAAGATCTTGATCGTTATCATTGGCATATTAGATCATCAATCCTATAAGCGATATAAGCCCCCCAATGCCCTGGTACGGCTGAGAGTGGGCAGAGTCAGCTCTCCCTCTCAAAATACTCTCACACGGCCACGCGTATATAGCCTCTGCCAAGGAAGTCTTGCTCACTGCCTTCTCGCACCATGGGTGTAGTTTACGAAATTGAGAGGACGAAAAGCGAATGTCCGGCGCCAAAACCGGGTTGGTTGACACAGAAAGTCCACCTAGAGAAAATGGAAAACCCTGATTCCAAACCAATGGTGCACATGGGCTCCAGTATCCTGACACAACAAATGGCGTATGAATCAATCGTTGGTCACCGGCTACCATGGGACTGCATCTCCTCACGGTGCTCCACTGCCTTGTGGATCAGACCTTTAGGTCAAAGGCTCCGGTTGTGGCCCCCTAAGAAAACCAACTGCTTCGGTCTGGGCCCTCACACAAATCAAATGAGATTTGTGCGGCGCATATGTATCTGGTGCTTTGTTGTATCAATATTTATGTGTTTAAATAATAAAAAGCGATATAAACAAAATGGTTAGTAAGGGAATACGATAACTAAATGGAACTATGAAAATAGATTTTTTTTCTTCACAATATAACGAATTGTATACATTCGGAAAGATCAACTTGATTTAGAACAATCGAATTACCTGAAAGTGATTACAACCATTCGAACGATTTCTAGTATGAAATCAAAGTTTTTATAATACGGTCCGATAATAAAAGAATTCACACTTTAGTAACTATGGGAAAGAATTACTTTTTCTGTATTTAATTTGGATTAAAATTATGTCAAATATAATAGATAATTGATTATATTAAAGCAGAATCGAATTAACTGTTAAAGGGAAATAATCAAAGGGTTTAATTGCTTAAGCAACAGGATGTAAATTGACTATATATTGTATATATTAATCAATGAAAAGAGGATATTAACAAGGGGTCATTTAAAAATTAATTTGACATTATATTAAATGTCTATGAAAGTCAGAAATATACCCTGCCTGAAGTCCTGCTAGGGTTATTAGCTGTTCCAAGTTCCGATAAAGGAGAAGAGTTGAGGATAGTGGTTAGCAACTCCATCCCGTAGAAAAGAATCTTGCTAAAGAAACATCTAACACTGTGTGGTACTCAGTTAAACCAGGTCAATTAGCGATGTGTAATGAAGATATTTGATGGCTTATGTTAAGAAGTACAAAGTTTCAAATGTTTTCTTTTTAAAAACACACTGTGATCAAGATTTCCGATTATGTAGGCAATACGAGATTCCACTTAGTGTAGAGGTTCATGGGAAAGCACTCTCTAAAGGTGTCTACGGAGCACTCATCATTTAGAAATATGACGAATAATTACATTCTCAGTAGTATTAGTAATAAAAAAGGACTTTTGTATGTAATGTCCCTTCTATTTAAGTGGGATAAGGTAAACGCTGGGTCAAACAATAGCAAATAAAAAACTGCCTGCTCATTTTGTTTGTAATTAGTCTGTTCGTAGATTGATCAACTAGGATTAATATTGAGTTTAAAAGATTTCTTTGAAAAGTATAAGGTAGCTTATTGTTGTTAACACTCAAAAACTAAGTGTGACACAATAACACTAATTTGATTTTATTTCCAGTTCATTGACTTACTACCCATATGACTCGATCCTACTTGGAAACTAAGTAAAGATTCATGTGACAACCAGGCTTTACGGTACATGATTATAGTCGTCACTAGCCTAGTGAAAAAATTAAATCACTTTCACGTAAATTAGCAGTAAAATGATTTTAAATAACAGTAGGATAAAATATAGATGTCCAGTATCGGATCGTCTGAGGGTTAGATTTTTGGGATTAAATACCTTGAAGGAGACAAAGGCTAAAATTAACCTGACTTATTTGCCAAATAGAGGTTCATGAACTCAGCTCTAAGCCGCATTGAGTGAGTGATGGTAATACTACCTGCTTACCCAAACAGAAGTGGGTAGTTCAAGGTACGGACCCATAAGCTACTGATTGAAAGATAATTGCTTTAATTACTAAGCTATGTCAATAGTTTTGTGGGCTCTAAGTAATAAAAACAACATCTTGTATATTTTGCAATCCAATTATCTTTGTCTATCTTATCCACATGATAAACAATGGAAGGAAAATCGAAATAAAATGGGAAATTAGGAAACATGAAGTAAATAAGATCTAAAAAGTAATAGAGTACAGATTTCGGTTCATTTCGAAAAAAGAAAAACTAAACGGAACGTGTTAGTAAATATATTACTTGACTTTTGAACAGTTTACTAAATATCAATAATACACAATCTATATTCAGTTAATATAGATATTACTAAGATACTCCAAGGCACCGGAATACCATAATGACAATTGCGTTATTTTATCACGGGACAATAGAATCAAGTTGAATAAAACAAAAGAGAAATATAAGTCATTTAAGTTATTTGACATAATTTTCACCTGAAGATAGTGTTAAACAAAATATAATGATTAAAAATGTTCCATAAAATCCATGAATATATGAAATCAATTTGTATAATTGGTTTACTGTGTTAAAGAGCCAATAATATATCATCTTGTTGTTCATCTGAATTTGACAGTAACAACTGTTTTTGTTCCAGTGAATTTTCGCATATTAATTCAATTTTTTTAGTTTTAAACCGTTCTGGTGAATCGTTTGGTACAGGTATATATACCGGTTCAACAAGGCGAGTTTGTGGACGATGACAATGAAGAACGATATAGTCCTAAATACGAAAGATACAAGAATGATAATAACAATTGCAAAAACTACATATCCAATAATATTCCAGGATTAAAAAATCCTCATACGTAAAGTTTAGAGTGAACCTGATAGAATGCTGGAGTGTTTATTCTAAATCTGTCAAAGTCTGTATCGATCATGGTATAACCCATATTTGAGGTGCAATCTCTTAGTTTCATCAGTGTAACCATTAAAAATACATCAGTGTGGAGCGACGACTGAGCTTTTAGCGGCACCGATTTGATTTCTAAGCACTCACCTACTTAGTGGCATTGCAGAAAGATACAGACCTATGTATGAACAGTTGATAGTTAAAAGTTAAGACCATTATTGAAGCAACATTTAGCTGAACATGAAAATTTATACAATCACTTGTTGAAAGTTAACTTTTCTGTAAACAGGCACCATACATAGTATTCTTTTTGACTGGACCCATTTTGATTTAGATAACTAAGTTGTAACATTAGCCTTTTCACGAAAATCTGCCTTGAAAATGATGACAAGAACCTTCAGTTAGCTGTTAAGTTTTATTACAAACTATCTATATATGGCATATTTATCAATTCCAAAAACGGGACGTTTCGGGTTTTTTTCAAGTGACATAAATGTTTTGCTACATTCGTTCTAATTCATTATATGTGAAAAAATTATAATTGAAATAGTCTCAGCGATTGAAATATATATATTATATTTCAATCGCTGAGACTATTTCAATTATAATTTTTTCACATATAATGAATTCTCTATACTCGGCGCCCAATTATTATCAAACTATTCGTTCTAACCTTGGCGAATATTCGTATAAATTTGTTCTAATTGTTGTTAATTTATTATCCATGAAAACATCTGTCAGTTATGAAGTAACGATAAGACCAACTTCTTAGTATAAGTAACGTTTGTAGAATCTGTTTACACTGGGCTAGAAGTACTTATTAAGTTGAATTTTTTTGGCGATCATCATAGTTTCGAATGCATATGGTACCAGTTCGTATACTGGACTATAATTCGAGATGAGCGTATGCTGAGAAAAATTACAACGTTACTTAACGGCACAGAACGAATTAAGTGGACTGCAACTGACTTAGGCGCGGGAACCGCTGAATCATGTCTAAACATACTTTGATAACAGCGTTACATTGAACGAATTGGCACAATACGGTATCTGCTTTATTCAATAGCTAGGGAATTATTTCTATTCAGAACAATTAAAAAAATGGATAAATTATACTTTATAGCCATGTAATGGCCATCGATAAGATGAACTAGTTCTACGCTGACTGGATTTGATTGATTTAAGGGTACAGTATGATCAACGCCAAGGTGTGACATAAAAGATTAATAATAACGTCTCTAATTTCAACACTGAGTAACTCAGGCTCACACATTTGTAGGATGGCTTTCTTTGAAATCGTAGAACGCTCTCGATTAGTATCGAAAAACCGTAAATGTAATTTTAATAAAGATTTCTAGTCGCTGTCTTTAAACATAAAATACTAAGTATATAGTATGCCACTAAATGAAACTTAGAAGAGCGGATTAATACTAGGAATTTAAAAGACAATTAATTTGAGTTTACCTGAAATCGACTTTTTATATGTTCAAATGTATTGATGAATGGAACAGACTGATGCCACGATCGTTCATATAAGTATCGCTTTATTAAAGAACTTAACACACAATACCCAATAGTGAAAGCTAGACAGCTAAATTGAGAAAGGTACACAATGACATGAACATAAAACGACTGGTGCAGTGTTTATAAGCAAAATATATCCCGAAATTATTTAGAACAAAAAATATTGTTTATTAGGATACATTGAGAATATATACAATGCAACAATGTTATGCCTATATACAAGTAATTATATTATATATTATATATTATATATTATATATATTATATATATATTATATTATATATTATATATATTATATATTATATTATATATTATTATATTTTTGAAACCAGGCTATTTGGGTATCAGACGTTTGTGTAATCGATAAGCAAAATAATTCTTATTGATACTTGGTAAATGAAAATAACTAACACTATTACCATTATTATTACTGGTATCACCGTAGACTATACAGAAGCCATATTTCAAGTACATCTGAACTTTTAACGTAACCCTTAAAAAGTCTACGTTCATTTCCCTAGGAATGGTGATTTACAGTTTCTCTTTTTGGTCTGAAACACGTTTTGGTTAGCTTACACTGGTGTCACTTTTAAACTTACTGGTAATAAATAGTATACTATCTCATAAATCTCCACATTCAACTCTCGGTTCGACACTGTCAGACCAGTGTTATTAAGCATCGAAAAGTAATCTCGAGAATTGGACTTTACGGATTTAGAATACTGGTATTATAAAACCCATATTAGGATTTTCATTGAATACTTCGGCCATATAAAACGGAGCAGCAGTATACTCTCTGATTAGGCAAAAACATTACTACAGTAGTACGACCAAGTTTATTTGTTCACATATTCCGATACGACCACGTACACGGATATATTTGATAGTATTATAGAAATGGATACGTTCATTATGTACGGCGAAAGGTCTTTTCCAACATAATATAGTACATAATAATTAACGTCAATTCAAAATTGGTAACAAAACATGACATGTTTGAGAGTTTTCAGTAGATTGTTTATTCAAAATATGTAACGTGAGATTCCATGTCCATTTTCTCAAAGATCTATGGCATGAAGCCAAGGAAGTTGTGTTTAGTTGAATCTCATTACTCTGAAAACTAGGCAACAAAAAGTCAACAAAGGTGTTCGAGCAAAATGGATTTCGCAATTTTTATACAAACAAAAATTATAAACGTACCATACAAGGATGACAATAAAAGTATACTAACACTATTACCATTATTATTACTGGTATCACCGTAGACTATACAGAAGCCATATTTCAAGTACATCTGAACTTTTAACGTAACCCTTAAAAAGTCTACGTTCATTTCCCTAGGAATGGTGATTTACAGTTTCTCTTTTTGGTCTGAAACACGTTTTGGTTAGCTTACACTGGTGTCACTTTTAAACTTACTGGTAATAAATAGTATACTATCTCATAAATCTCCACATTCAACTCTCGGTTCGACACTGTCAGACCAGTGTTATTAAGCATCGAAAAGTAATCTCGAGAATTGGACTTTACGGATTTAGAATACTGGTATTATAAAACCCATATTAGGATTTTCATTGAATACTTCGGCCATATAAAACGGAGCAGCAGTATACTCTCTGATTAGGCAAAAACATTACTACAGTAGTACGACCAAGTTTATTTGTTCACATATTCCGATACGACCACGTACACGGATATATTTGATAGTATTATAGAAATGGATACGTTCATTATGTACGGCGAAAGGTCTTTTCCAACATAATATAGTACATAATAATTAACGTCAATTCAAAATTGGTAACAAAACATGACATGTTTGAGAGTTTTCAGTAGATTGTTTATTCAAAATATGTAACGTGAGATTCCATGTCCATTTTCTCAAAGATCTATGGCATGAAGCCAAGGAAGTTGTGTTTAGTTGAATCTCATTACTCTGAAAACTAGGCAACAAAAAGTCAACAAAGGTGTTCGAGCAAAATGGATTTCGCAATTTTTATACAAACAAAAATTATAAACGTACCATACAAGGATGACAATAAAAGTATACTTCATAGATTGTTGAACAGGACAAAGACTAGGATGGAACAAATCGAAACTGTAGGACTTATCGTTTTCATGACTTATGAGATGAAAGGCTGCCTATTAACAGTTAGAGTTTTGATGCTTGAACTTACCATGCTACCACACCCAAGAATCAGGTCTGTTGTAATCTCTGAATCATTGAACCTTACCAGACGTCGATCATCTGCGAATAGGCTTCAATGATTTAACGCTACCTTTGTTAGAAACGGTAAAGTTGGTGAACGATCCTAATTCCACAACACTGGTTTCGCTAACTGCAATAATCGATGGATTTAATGACACTGATGAGTTTTCCTCTGTTTTGAAACCACAAACGCTGAAATAATAGTCTACTTTCTCGTCAGACTCATCGGAGAATCTGAAGCAAATTTAAAAACAAAAGAATTATCTTACAAATGCCCAATAATCCCATGAAGAAATGAAGCATTTTCCGACAAGACACAGTTTTTGACAGCGTAAACTACCGATGAATTTTTCTCACCGCTGCAAAGGTGTGTAGAGCACAAGAAGGCAAGGTACATAAACTGTAGATATTTCCTTGACATAGTAAACAGAATCAAATTATCGGCATTTCAATGTAACGCACTATTCAACTATCCGCTAACAACTTTAACTGGAAACATTGTCATTCAGATAAAAACAGATAGACAGTTATGAAATATGATGGATGGCGACTATACTTGTAAGTTTCAGGCCTATAACTGATTAACTAATAGCCTGAAAGACACTGTATTCGTCAATAAGAGTGAAGAATAATAAGTATCTATAATTCTTTTTGTTGAAACAACTAGTCCTATTGTGCGTGCCAGGTTCACTTAATAAAATCCCTTTGAAATACAGTATAATATCTATGGTAAATTTGCTGTGGAAGGTGTTAAATCAGGGAACTGTAGCTTCTTTAGTAACCTTTCAAAAACAGCCCTTATGTTCAAACAGTAACCCGTTAATTAAGCTGGTCACTAAAAAATATGCTGGAGTAAATTTCTTAGACATCGATAAGAAGCTGAGGTGACCAGACTTATCAGTCAATAATTCCCAAGCAAGTAATTCGTTTTTTAGACAAATCACAAGTAGAAGATGCCCAGGATTTGCGAGAAACAGAAAGTACGGGTACATGTCTGTTAATAAATCGAACCCAAAGTAGACACAAATAAGTCGATGATGGTTGAAGGGAAGAAATACTGCAAATATATATATACATATATATATACCAGCCAATGTGTCTGAACTCTCAGATTACTGCTACGTTATCTACTTCTCCTTACATAAGGTAACAGTTGTCGGATCATCTGTAAGGCTGTTAGTTGTGATTAAATATATGTTGTACACTACTTCTCGCCATATTATTGAACACTTTACATTACGAACGTCACGATCAACCATCAAACGAATACGGCTGACTAAGCATTGGAATTTCAATACAACCAAACACATATCGATAGTTTATTCGTCAACGATTTTGACAATCTTCGGAATGAAGGGTGATCAAGACATTTTACTGTGACTCCATTGTACTTGCCTTGGACTGTGGTAATTAATCGATGAAACAAAGCACTGAAGCATAGCACGTTCACGTATTTACAAACAACTTCCATAGCTTTTGACAACTAACATCGTATTATGTCCACAGGATTGAATCAAGGATTATTCGACGAACATTTCCAAATTATAGTACAAGATTATATATCAAAGGATAGAATCAAGATGTCATATCTCCGGTAAACCACAAAACCCTTCCATAATCATTCCTCACTCAGGATAGCAATTAGGATATAGAAATTCGTTTACAATGGTATTAATACCATAATTGATCTATTTATCTGTGCCACAATGAGTCACTGTTTTTTCCATCACAACAAAGAACCACGGGGCAGTCAGTTTCAAAAAGCCTATCTTATTTTAAACCCCAACGTGCTTCTGCTGCCTCATACGCTTGGACAGATCGGGCGAAGCACATCTGTTTACTTTCTTGATATTGTCTGACTCAGAAGTCTGGTACGTATTGGTCGACAAATCATTAGCTATTTCTTTTCTGTACCATGAAAAACGTGACTACCGGTATATAATTACCTATCAGTGATTCTTCATCTGTACCCTCCTAAACTTGCAGATGCTAGCCGACGATAGTTAGCCGCTGATAACAAGAAATCAACTGAACTAGTAATGATAATTTACGACAGTGTATAAAGTTTGGACAAACATTCATACAGTATTTAAAGATTCCTCCCGTTCGTTTTTGTCAGCTAGTCAAGTTGGTCTCGCTGGACACTGGTTGAACGTCAACCGGATGACCTGTGATGAATAAAGACTCAAATATTCTTACCAATAAAATCCAAACACAATTTGTGTCCATTGGAAAAAAAGTATTTCTAACTTAATACCTGTAGAATTATGTGTTATACTTCGTTAGCAGTACGGCTCTAATGGTAGACCTAATCCTAAGATTGCAGGTTTATCATAATGCGACTACGCGATTCATATGATCTTACATGTAAGTCAGATAATTGTATACACTGACTAGTCCTGCTTCTGGAGAACACGTTTAGGCTGGAGATAGAACAATATATTTGATATAGATAAAAAAAGATGAGTTACACAGTAGTGTCCACTCTTGCAAGGCTGAGCCATGTCATCCGATTGGATCTCGAATTATTGTTTCCACGGTGTTTATAGTTAACCACCTTTTTGTGTCAATTGTTGGATATCTTTTCAGTAATTATATGCTCGGCTTCAAAGATCATGTGGTTAGGGTAAAATGCCACTACATACCTCATTGTTGTATAATGTTAATTCGATATTTATTTATTTCTGAATAACATGAAATTAGGCATTTGAACTCGACAATAATGGATATATCAAAATATTATTTTACATCAGTAGCGTTACTATCATCTTGTGAATCCGTCAGATTGACCATTTGAACATGGTTTCAGCTAGATTTACATGTACATGTTGATAGTACTTCGTACAGAACACATTTTCGTTAGATGACTCCAGTTAGCCATCGATTCACTTCAAAAGTTAATTCAAATTGACTGTCACTACTGAGCTTAGGAGTAAAATGATTGCTGTATACGTGAAGCTAAGAAACTGGAAATAAATCAGTCGATCGTTAAGGCTGAAGAATGTTCCACTGGTCAATGGTAAATCAAGACCAGCGTATAAGCAAAAAATTAACGGAACTCAATACAATCAAGAGAAAGCTGTTAGTTAGAATATTCCATTATCTATGATATATTACGTTAAGATCGTTCGAAACAAAGGATCTGAGATCGTATTTGTTCCACCTATCACTTTCGAGTCCGTTAGTTTCAAATTTGTTGAACCTCTGAGTGAATGTCCTCACATAAGTAATTAGTTTAGTATGATCATCACTAAGCTGAACTGAACCTACAAATCTACTCAACAACAGAATAATACTATGTTGTAAAAACCTAAGGATATATGAGAAAACTGGTTCAATGGCTCGATGTTTCATCATGAGGCCAACTTTTGTCCACTTACTTTATAAATGGGTCAATGTCCTTTTAACCATCTACACCAAAAAGTCTTAGAATTCAACCCACCTCAAAATTTTCAGGACAGCACAATGTTTCTACGTACTAATAGATTGTACAGCTTGATGACTTTTCACAGTTTCGAGTACTATCGAGATAAATATATTGTTCTGCTTTCCCCACTGAATCGTCCATGATTTGAGAGGTTTATGGCTATCATCGAAAGCGTTCATCTGAGTACAATAACCAAGAAGGATACCAAAGAAAGACAGGAAAACTATCAGATTCGGAATACCTTATCATAAATGAAAATATGTAGGTGAGAAAAATGAGAATTTTTAGATATGGAATACGGTCGAAGGCGATATACTGTACATAATTCAGTAATGGGAAAAAGCTTGATTTACAAATATATATGATAGTTTTGTCGGTGATCTGTTAATGTAACGGCTGGTTGAACTGAAATGAAATGTTAAATGGGGAGTAGTGCATTTTCGAGAATATCATTCAGTGTATCATACAGATAAAGTGTGTACCTGAAAAACCTAAAGTCAAACTTGAAAGTCGACTTGGTAGTTATCGGATGTGAGAATAAAAAAACAAAAGTATATGAATGGTGACAAAAGATATTTACAAAGTAAGTCCTGTTAACCATTTGCACAGCAACTTAATAGTGAGTAATATCGCACACATAAACTCTCAACACTAAAATATTCGTGTTCTTAACTTTTTATAAGTTGATAAGAAGTGCAGTGTGATAATAAGAAATTGAATTATTGTACTAACTAGGAATTCCCAAAATTGTGCAAATTGTAGCAAGTAGAACAGGATAAGCATAAATGAACGTATGGTATTTGAAATTCGAAATCAGTCACACATCAAGTACGAAAGAATTGTATAGTCGGCGAAGTGTCACTTAGCCCTGGCCAAATCTTTTGACAATTGACCGATCACTTGGTATCATGTACGTTAGGTCCTTCTTAGTGCAGATGGAATCCTGTCGACGAAGTTTCAACGTAGCCAACTAGGTGACTTGACATTGTGAAGCTGGGTGAAACGGGATCGAATCCGTCAGGAGCATCGGCTTCTTCAAGATTACAGGTACAACTTGCTGACGAGTGCCAAGTAGCACAAACCCAAAATTCACGGTTTCCTGTTGACTAAATCCAACCACCATCTTATCCGTAGCCAAATCGTCCGGCAGTTGGGTCATTGAATGTCGAGCAGTTCACCGATCCCCGTCAAGGTCGGGGACAATCGGCGCACACCAGGTAGTCGTACCGTACGCCATAGACTGGCCTATGAGGTGGTGGTCACTCTTTCGCTTGTACATACTCTAACTAACATATTCCTGTTATAACAACCTTTATATTATATGGTCTTCGAAGCAGCAATAGTATGTTGATACGACACGTGGGCAAACCACGCCAGGTGCTGACCGCTAGGTGTGACTTCGAAGTCAGATGTTGGTGAAACTATTGCCATACAACTCGAGTAGGACTCTAATCGTCCTACATGGATCTACATTAGTGGTCTGCAGAATCATTAGTTCATACAAACACTACAACCTCCACAGCTTAAGCTGGAATCTAAGTTTCTGTAATCAATTAAACGTCTTCTCGATTGGTTCATTGCATGTCCATCAGAATGTGTATTGAAAACATACCCTTCACGATCTAGAATATTCTCACTAGTATCAGAATTAACAACCAAAATTGGAACGGACTCAGGTACATCGTGGAATTCTATATGATCACCATATCGGTTATGTACTGAAGTCACTGATACGTAGAATGTGAATCACAGATCTTCTCACACTATCCTACCCCATGAAATAATGTTGGATCTTCATATCCTCAGGTCATAAATAATATGTCTTCACTTGAAACATATTTCTCATATTGTTAGATTATTCATTAGAGATTACTTCATGATGAGGATAAACAAATGTCGGCATGAAGTAATCGGAACTGTAATCAATATCGAGCTCACTTAGTACTCCCGCTTAGCATTGAACAAGCTTCTCACAAGAAGCGAATACATTATGAGGATAAGTAATATATAATATGACATCAGGATTTGATTCTTCTGAAATATTTTCGAATTTATTAAGAATGTCATTGGAGAGTAATGGATCAGTTGAAAAAT